TCAAGAGGCACATCGTGCCATGGAAATTGACATTCCTATGAGAATTACCGTATTTTTCCGTGTATAAGACACGCCCTATTTTTGGGGACTCCAAATTAAGAAAACACCCCTCAACACTACCCGTGTATAAGACAAGCCCCAATTTTAAACCTAATTTTTTGGTAAAAAGCACACGAAAAAATACAGTATAACATGTCCAGAAGGCTTACTGGTCAAAGATGATACCCAGCCTCCCAAACTCTGATTGATTGATTTTATTTGACATGATTTATATGGCACTTTTTTGTTGATTAACAAAAACCGCAAGTAGTTTACATCAGTGTTTCCCAACCTTTTTTCGACTGTGGCACTCTTCCAACCTTGTTTCATTCCTGTCGCCCCCCCATGGGTGTAGCCAAGGGGGGCAGCAAGGCAGCCCCCCCCCCTCAGTAAGTAAAAACCAATACAAATCAATACAATTCTGAGGTTCTGCCCCACCTAAGAAAAGCCTCCACACCCAACAAGCCTAAGTGACAATAAAGTTACCGGAGGTCCATCTTTCTCACTTAGATCATTAGTCTCAAAAATAAGTTGCTTTATAAGGCCTTAGTGGCATGTCCTGAAATGAATGCCTATCACTGTGTTCTAAGCTCCTGCTATAAAATATAGAATTTCAGTGTTTAGGATTAAGTCTGGGATTTTGAATGCCTGATTATTTACTCTTATCTCCAGTATGATAATTATGTGTGTTAATCTACATTAAAGCAAGGCAAATGATTATCTATTGCTTTGTCCAATGGTTGCCATGTTTATTTGATGATGAACAAGCTTCAGATGATCCACAAAGTCAGTGAAAGGGGGATGGAGAGACTAGTCTGTAACCCTGGTTGACCAAATACAACAGTTTTGGCCACAAAATCCCAAGACTTAACATTTGTGAGAGGGCTGTGCTGCTTCATCCAAAGGAATTAAGCTCAAGCAAATCCTTTTCTATTCTCCTGGGAATGTGAAAAAAATAATCTGTATCAAACAAAATCACATACTAGGAGCTAATATTTATCAGCCTTCACAGCTATGATCCTATTAATACTGTGCTCTGACCATAAAGTTTTGCTGTTCATGTTTGATATTTTCTCTACTTCTGTGGCTTCTCTGCAGTAATATGCAATTAAAGTCTTAAAGCCGTAGGTTAATTATGTGAATCTGCAAATGTTATAATTTTCACCAGGGTGTGGTTTTTTATTAATCTGCCTTAGCATAGTCACCTACAGCTGTTCCATATACATATAAAATTGTTAACTGAAAAATAAAAATAAATTACACGGGTTATGCCAGCACCAGCCTTCTCAACCTCCACAACAGGGCACCAGTTCAAGTACATATTGTGACCTTCTCCTACCACAAGCAATATTTGACTGAGATTTGTGGTAAGCTTTGGCCAGCCTTCAGAAATGTGTCGCTTTGATATGCCACTTTGTTGAGGTTGTTGCCACAGCAAAACCACTACTGCCTCATACTAATCTATGCCCTCAGGAGAAATCAAGAATAGTGTTAGGGATTCTTGACATGGTGGTAGTGGGAAAGCAGGCCTCATTGTTCGAGATGACACATTTCCACAAAATGGGCCTTTTTTCATGCTCCCGGATACTGTCTAGCCTGCTAATGAAGAGATCTGTAGGTTTCCCACACGTAGCATTTGCTGAATTCCCGTTTGTACGTGGTTTCAGAGTACCTGCATGGTGAGAACCTGACAAATGGTCTTGTGAAAGGAAATCCATTTTGTTATCTCCCCCTTTCCTTGAATATGCATAATGCTTCTACGCCTGAAAAGCTCAGCAGTGGCGTAAGAGGAAGCCAAGCAGTGGGGCGCCAGTTAGGCTCTACGATTTCTGTAAAAGAATTTGTAGCGTTGGGGTGTAAAGAAAACAAGAAGAATGAATGGGCCATTTGCTGTGGCTAGTCAATGGAACCGTCCTGTCGTCTTCGCTCTTGTCTCTGTATAAATAAAGCATTGTTGTCCATCCTTGGCATTTGTGCTTCATTGTGATAAATTGGTCTTGATGTGTCTGACATTTTTTTAACCAAGTCTTTTTCATTGGCTGTTTTGGAAAAGTCCAGCTTCCGTATACTTTGCGTCAACACAAACCTCAAGGGCCTCGATAGCAGTCACTATCAAGTACAAGTTAACCTTCTCTTTCTCTGCAAGATTAGGGAAGACCAGAGTAAAAGAGTGTGAGAAAAATTTGGGTAGACAAATTTGCAAAAGCCTAAAATAAATGAAAGCAAGCAAGCAGAGGAGATCTACACCTTCAACTCTACCCTTCTTTCATGACTTGTTGGCTAGTATTTGCATAGCATTTTTATTTGAAATGAAGCAATCCAAAATAGCATTGACTTTTCCTCAACACTTTTGATTTGATTTGTCATTTCTTTGCCCAAGTTCCTTTCCTTAACTTTGCATTTCATAGTGAAAAGCTGAGATTGAAATGATTCAAGCTTAGCTGCCAGTTGTGTTTGAACTCCCTATAGTTGATGTACACTGACAACTGATGGCTTTCTGCTTTGAGGTTAACTGCTCAGATTTACTTTTCAAAATGCATCTAATTACTTGTATCATTGTGGTGATTAACCCGGTGTCCTTTTCGTAAACAGATGCTGCCTGTCCTGCCATTCTCATATCCATTATTCTTCCAAAGGTGCTTCTTGCCGTGGGCTCTGAGATCAAATTGATACTGAGATTCCTACATAACCTTCCTGCCACTTTGCTACAATTCACCATAATTTTTATATTTTTATTGCTTGTTTTTGTTCCCCAAAAGCACAAGTTTAAGACAACTCTGAGCTATTTTACCTTCAGGCTTTTTCTGATGGCGAGAGAAATTTCTTCTATCACATAAACAGAAATGGCCAATTCCTCAGAGACTTGCTCTCAAATAAATTTCAGCTGAACAACTCTATTATGTTCTGTTTCTTTCCCAAAACTGTGGTCTCTTGGGTTTTTCTATTTTGGGAGAGTTGCAAGTAAGCATGTAAGTATATAGAAATTAAATTGCTTACATGTCAGGCCAGGGGGGAAACTTCCATGGCTGGAGGGTTTCCAGATATTGTTCTTCCATTCAGGGCACAGTGGGAGCAAAGTTAGAATACCATCACTCTGGTACTCCAAAAGTGTAAACGTTGGAAAAGCTAGCTGTTCAGACAGTCATTTAATCTAGTGGTTTACTAACCACATATGTTTCCAGCTATTTAGAAACTCCCAACTGATGTGATCCAGACAAATGCATGGCTACCTCTGTGCACTCTGTAACTCCTTTTGCATTGGACACTGAGCTAATGCACAACATTTGGGGAGCTTTTAGAACTTCATTTTGCAGTATTGTGGGGCTAGTGTTTGTTTGGAGAAGGGCAGGTGGATTAAGAGCCCCACTTGGCATGTACAGCTCTTTGATGTTCACGGGCAGTGTGATCATTTGTATATGACATTAATAGAGTTATATGTCTATAACCTCTGAGAACCTGATTTATGGGCCTTGTTTGTGATGAGGGACAGGTGGATGCCTTCTACATTCCAGGCCTGTGGCTGTTACGATGTTCATATAAATGCCCTACAGATGTATTGGAAGCTATAATCTAAAATATCTGGAGGACACCAGGTTGACAGAGGCTGGTCTAAAATGAAATTAATTTATGTCTTCAAAACAGTTTCACTAAGTTAGGTAATGACAGCATCCACTCTATAATTATTCAGGGTTGTTTTTTCCCCAACTTCAGTAACGTGCTACATTTTTAATGACAGCTCTTGGTGGCCTTTCATTTTCCTGTTAGAATGATGAGCTACCTAGAAAAAAAAGCCAGGCGGTGAAGCTGCAGCTGCTTTGATTGCCTTCAGATTGGAAACCCACTAAGAAAATGTCAATGAGGGCAGTTTCATTTACCGAGCACTTTTATGGTCTCCATGTAGGGATGGGAGTGGGGTGGCAGGGAAGCATCACCTTTTGGACACTATTAAATGCTTGATTAATCCCTTAATTTCCAGTTCCTTTTCAATTTCAGTGGTGCCCACCAGACACTTCTTTCCTCTTATTATTAGCTCAGTGGGGCATTTGTGGGAAGCAGAGAAATTCAAACTTACGAATATGTATCTTAGTGTTGCAAAGGCAGATCTGCCTGTCAAACGTCCGTGATCAAAATTAACTTGTGTGCCCAAACAGTTCCATGTTAAATATCATCATATGAAACCACAATGAGGGAAGGGAATCTGGACTTGTATACTGGGTAAGAGACAGTATCTCCAAAGGCAGCAGCCTGATCTTCTGCAATGGTACCCAAAAGAGCAAGAAGAGTAGTAAGGACTGCTTTTCACCATCCTTTCTCCTTATCCTGGAATAGGTAGCTAGTATTTGCATTCCTAAATACAGTATCTCAAAGAAGTACTTTTTTAAAAAAAGGATTTAATCCTATTCTTTGGGTGTGTTCATCTATGGTGTTGTAGTCAAGGACATTGCAGTGGGTTAAAAGTGTTGCAAAAGAGATTTCAGACTGAAACCAATTCTTGTTTTTGTAATGAACTAGGCAGCTTTCCCCCTCCGCCTTGTTGTTTAAATCTATTCAGAATTAAATTCCTAAATTCTTTCTCCAAACACTCATGGTACACTGGGTTTAGCTTCAGTATAGTGATTTTGGGTACACTGTCTTCTAATTTACACCTGTTTATATTCCTTTATAACATCCTGAGGTTATGAGATTATTCAGCCTGCTATACTTGGAGGAGATCTATTCTTTTTAACTCTGTTACTGTGCTTCAGGTAGTGAAATTATATCAAACCAATAAACAGGAAAATACATGCCAGCTAAATTATTTGCATAGTATTTTGATCAAGTTTAGAAAGCAATTCTAGAAACATCCACAGTCTTTCTACTGTGTGTGCTGCCTGATGAAAATATGGGGCACTCTGAGGTAAAGTTATATATATATTTTTTTTAATTCATTAATTATGTTATTTTTGTGCTTCTTTTTTTAGCCAAACAAGTATGCTTAGCTGAAAAAATCAGCTGTGGAGACTCCAGCAACAAATGCATCCCATCTTCATGGAGGTGTGATGGAGAAAAAGACTGTGAAAGTGGAATTGATGAGGCCGGGTGCACTAATGGTGAGTCTGAATGATGCTGGGCCTTTCATACCGATGCTGTTATTTGACCTCAATGAACCCAAACTCCAAATTACAGTATCTGATGCCAGTTTTTGTATCCCTTCCCTCCTGTATTTCCTATCTACCCCAGCCTTTCTGATTAAATGTGTTTGTACTACATCTTAGGCCACAAAAATCAATATTTGTTTTTCCATATGCTGTAGGTTTTAGGAAGGGCGTTGAAGATGATCTTACCAACATTAGATTGTAGGGACACACATGCCACCCAGCCTATGCAAGCTCCACAGACACACACACACACCCCGGAGAATAGATAAGTTGGGAACTAGTGTGGGCTGCAGATCCACTGCCTTTACCCTTGAGTAGGAGTAGTGGTGGAGAAACATTGAATTGGCACTTTATTTCTTTAAGAGGATTCCGTTCTATATTCAAACTTCAAACTCTGGAAAGAATATTCCAGGCAGGGTCAGAATCTGCAGCAGGTAATAATAGCCCTTTGGGGAGAAAATGCCACTCCGTAAAGCACACTGCAAAGTTAAAATAAGAAAATAATTTGTGGGATTCCCCAGAAGGCTGGATATGTTTTCTGTTTCCCAAACACTGCAGTAAGATTTTCTCAAGCTGTTGAAGTCGCAGGTAATTCGTTTTCAGCCATTAATTTTTTGCTGCAAGTTCCACCTACATACTAGCTAGTACTTGGGGATGTGGACTGAGAGACTGATCTCGCTCCAGTACTCTTCAGCCATTAGCCATAGATCACTGAATAGGTGACTGTTGTGTTTTTAGTAACCCACAAAAATCGAAAGGCAATATCTATTGTAAATGGTTTCAAGCAAGCAGATAGTGCTACTGTCTTTATCCTCCCAATAGCTCTATGTACAGTATTGTAAAACCTCTATGGGTGAGTAAAGAACGATACATAAAGGAGCAAAGCAGTGTTTCATGTAGGGACAGGGGGAGAAATTGAATTTAGTTCATGCTTAAAGGCGAATCTACCAGATTTGTACAGTGGTGCCCCGCAAGACGAAATTAATTCGTTCCGCAAGTTTTGTCGTCTAGCGAATTTTTCGTCTTGCGAATTATTATTTAGACAAAGGAAACAAAGTCGCGAGACGTTTTCGTCTTGCGAAGCAAGCCCATAGGGAAATTCGTCTTGCGAGGCAACTCGCAAACGGAAAAACCTTTCGTCTAGCGAGTTTTTTGTCTTGCGAGGCATTCGTCTTGCGAGGTACCACTGTACATTCCAAAGCAATGCACAAACCAAAACAAGCTATCCTTCAGAATTCACACTTCAGCTAGCAATTCTCCAGCCAAGTAATATGTACAAAAACACATATGTTAGTGAAAATAATGTACAAAAATAAGAACACAAGAAGAACCTTGTGGATTGGGCTAGTGACCCATCTAGTCCAGCACCCTGTTCTCACAGTGGCCAACCAGATACTTCTGGGAAACCACAAGCAGGATTCAGGCACAAGAACGCACTCACCTGCTGTGGTTTCCAGCAGCTGCTTTTCAGAAGCATTGGGGTCTCCATTCTTGGAGGCAGAGCATAGCCATCAACAGCCCTTTTTATATTGGGGAAAATTGCTTTGCAAAAATGTGTACATTGGGAGGAAATGCAGGCAAAAATGTATACATTAGCAGAAAAGTGAATGAAATGGTAATGAATTTTCATGATATATATAGTGCGTGCGTGCATTCATTCGCACACATGCAAACTGATGTGGAAATGTGTGAGGACAAGAAATAGGAGAAACCAAAATCCTGAAATCGACAGGTTCCCCCATCCCTAGTCTCCCTCCATTTGTGTGAATGGCTGCACAACCATACAAGAGGCTGGTTTTATTCGTACAGCTGGGGGCTTGTTTTACACACTGCGTGGCAGGCTAAGCATGGCAGAACCAGAGAATGGAAAGGTTGCTTTTGTGGCCTAGGTGTCCCCACATCTCTTCTCCGCCTTGGCTTGTGGGCAGTTCTCTTTTCTTGGAAAGGAGCACATTTGTCAAATCAAGCCATTCTCCTCCGGATGAAGATGACCCCCTCTCTGCTGCTCGCAAGCCTTCTGAGTTTTAAAGGATTGATTTCAATCCTTTCTGTTATCCAAATCTGATAAAATCCCTCTAAGCTTATCTACTGATACTCTGTAAGCATCCCTGTTTCTTCTCTGCTTAGAATCTTTGTCATCTTCTTTCTCATCTTTGCTGTTTGCTTGTCCTCAACATGGATGGGGGGTGAGGACAGGGGAGAGAGAGGAGGTTTTACTTATCTCTTCATTCTTCCTGAGCTTACTTTGGGGGAGGGGGAGTAAGAGGGGGGACTTTCTTTCCTTTTTGCCTTGCTTGCTTACTTGCTTGGAGTTAAATTTGAAGCTATCAAGCTCATCCTCTGAAATGTGACGTCTCCTTGTCACATTAGAGGCTGTGCCTTTCACAGAAAGTATCTGAATTTCAAAGAAACATCACATTTCATATATCTATTTGAAGGGGAGTTCATCATTGTTGGAAGTAATTTTCACATCTCGCTGTGCAAAACACACAAACACAAAACCCTTAAAAACCAGAGGAAGTATCCAGGAAGAAAACTCAGTGGCTGTTTCTAAAATCCAAACAAACAACATATCTGCATGGAAAATAGCACGACTGGGTTTTCTGAGGGCTTTGCTAAGTTTCTGCCTGAGACTTGTGCAAAACCTATGCCACACTGAATTTTAGTTGGAAGGTGTTGCCCTGTGATGAAGCAGAGCTCAAATGGCAACGAATCCGTTTGATAATGGCTGGCAAATACAGGGACTTTTCATATGGCGAGGTTTACTGGTGAGGGATTGTATAGCCATATCAGACTTCGTGTCAATAAATGCTCTGGTGTGGGAGAAAACTTGTGTTTCACATTCAAACTTTTAAGTCAGAAAGTTGTGAAGGAAGCAAATGCAGCAGCCATAAATGGTCTTGTGGAAGGTGGGAGGACAGAATCTCTTTGCAATAATAGCGCTCTCACAGGAAGCAGTGGTGGCCATTAGCTTGGATACTCTAAAAGAGGACTGGACAAATTCATGGAGGATAAGGCTATCATTGGCTGCTAGCCATGATGGCAGTGCTCTGCCTCTGTGGTTGGAGGTGGTAATGCTTATGGATAAAAAGAGCCTGCTTGATCAGGGCAATGGCTCATCTAGTCCAGCATCCTGTTCTCACAGTGGCCAAGCAGATGCATGTAGGAAGCCTATAAGCAGCACTTGAGTACAACAGCGCTGTCCCCACTTGGGATTCTGAGTAGGTGGTATTAAGGAGCATATAGCCTCCAATAGTGGAGGCAAATCATAGGTTTCTGTTGGCTGTAGGGGGAAGGCATCAGTTCCCTAAGAATGAAAGGAGATACAGGGGTTTATTGCAAGTAAAACAAAGCCTCTGGCAAGGCTCTAGAGCATGCATAGGCAAACTCGGGCCTCCAGATGTTTTGGGACTACAACTCCCATCATCCCTAGCTAACAGGACCAGTGGTCAGGGATGATGGGAGTTGTAGTCCCAAAATATCTGGAGGGCCGAGTTTGCCTATGCCTGCCCTAGAGACAGTGTGCTTGACAATCCTCAACCTCCTCCTGGGAAACTGCCAGTGCATAAGCACCTTAATTCTCCCAAGCATTGATTTGTTGGCTTAGTTATGCTAAAAAAATTTTTAAAAACTGTTTCTTTATCCGTCTTTGTAAGGGTCTCTGCATTTTCTAGCTTCAATGATTTTATTCCAGAGGATGTGAAGGTAATCAGTGTCCCTTGCCCCTACCAGGTAGGAAATTCTGAGCTAAATAAGCTGTTATAAACTGCTGTATTTGATTTGGGAATTCCAATAATACAAAGCAAAACTTCCTTTTTAAGGAGTGGTTCTGCCGGCTCGTAAGATAATCTCCCAAAGAGATGGCAAAAGGCCTCCAATTGAGTTGTTGTAAAAGCAGCAGTGGGAGAGTAATCATCAAGCACAGTGGGATTTGTGCTACAAAAGCTGCAGTCTATTCCCTCCCTCCCCGCCAGTACCCACTCATGCCATAGTTAATTATAGACCCCTAAACGCTCCTTGCTAGGCAGCATAGAGACCTAAACACCAACCTAAGCAGGAAGAACTTCATCCCACAGTGAGCAGAGAGAGCAAAATCTTTCTGAAAGACTCAGGCGGCATCTTAAAACTATGTGTTCAGCTTCATTTTATGTTTTATGGCAAGTTTGTTCATGTGTAGGAAATTCACCTGCCCTGCTGCCACATCAGCATCCTTGAGTTGGAGCTTTCCTTACCTGGCATGCAGGGAGAAAGATGTAAACTGAACGTACATATGCAGTTGCTGCATTGTAAAAGCCCCTTTGTCTGATTCTGCGCTTATTCTTTCTTTCTTTCCTTCTTATTTGTTTATTCCATTTACTATTTGCATATATAGCCTGCCCCATTCACCAACTGGTCCTAGGACATCTTGCAAAAATACTGCACTTAAAATACATAAAATTCACATTTAAATCATGAAATAGAACCGCATAACAAATGTGGCAAAACAGTAGCACAGACTGGCAGTGCACAGCAACGCCAGTGAAGGGAAGATAGCCGCTTAGGCAAAGTTCTGGGTAAAGAGGTGCATCTTGGCCAACTGTCAAACTTCTTACAATAAAGGCACAAGATGCATCTCAGAGGGAAGTCATTCCAACACCTGGGAGCCACCATAGAGAAGGCCCTTACATGTTATGCCCACAAAGCTTTCCCTGCTGATCTTAACTCCCTTGGCAGGTTGATGCCTGGTCATTTTGATTTTTGACATGGTAAAGACCCCCATCAGTACTTCTTCCCTCATTAAAAAATACCTCCTGCACTTGGTATGCGAGCCCACTCTACTGTGGGCCATAATCTTCCCTGAACACCCACATGGAGTTCACAGGGGCTGGGGGGCTGAGCTGACAAACTCCATGTGGTAGCATTGGGCCTGGTTGTCCTTCTCCCTACCTCCCACTGTCTGGCACTCTGCAAAG